CCCCCAACCCGCTTAGCACCCTCAACTATACTTGCACCCTTTTTCGCACCCGTGTCTGTGCTTCTTCGCTCAGTTAGCGCGAGGATGCATTCCTTCGTGTTGGAGATGTGAGATGTATTGGAGTGCCCACTCCTTACAACTACATTTTACAAAAAACCTTAAATGTGGAAATATCTTAGCATACAATGTCTACACCACTGCCCAGAATTAAAGTCTAACTCACTCCAAAAGCCCCATCGCTTTCGCATGGGGCGCATTCATAGTAGGTGCGTTTTACGCAGACTGGTCAGTTTTAAGAGACTGATGAGTGCAGATACATCCGTTGAAATGGAGATGCATGCGTAAAAACGGATTAGACTGCGTAAAAAACCACTAGTCTCACAAGGCCTGTGCGAAATTAGTTACGACTTAAAGAGTTTGCCGAGTAGCACCAAGCCCGCCGTTCCTTGACTTTGAGTTCCAAGACGCGCCTCGCACGCATTTGCAGTCCCCTCTTCGCAGGCCCCATGATGTCTAAGCCTCAAGGGTTGAAATTTCCGATCGTAACAGCTCGCATTCTACCTGTACCCAGCAACAAAATGGCACATGAACATGTAAATGACCTCTGAGTTTCCTGCGTTATAGGTTGCTTTCAGACTTCGACGTCCCTCCGTCCGCCCGCCCGTCCATCGTGTGCGTGCCGCGACGGCGGTTCTAGCGAGGTGTTTACAGCGCTGAATACCGATCGATACCGCGAGACAAGAGGATGACTGATTTCATCATCCGCGGACGGGCGTCGAGGTCTGTAAGCAACCATACACGAACAGCTTGGAGCACTTTGGGACAACTAACAAAGTATGAGGAAATGCTTTAAGCAAACTCATCTAGGCGCTCCCTTCGCCCTACCGTTTAGTCTATAGCTTAAAAAAACAATTTTATGTATGTGAATGTAAGAGGCCCACGGGAACCAAGAGAAATTCAAAGATACAATAAAAAAGGAAAAATGGAAATTGTACGAGAAATCATTGTCAGCGTCGAAACCCAACAACTCATGATTATTTGTCAAGAGATCGACTTGCTGGCTAGTTCAGCTTCATTACTACCTCCGGAGTCTGGTGAAAATGGAACTAATGTTAAGAAGTAATAATACAAGGGACCCCTTTCCCTAGCTTAAAGGCACAGCTCACGATAATTTTGGGTAATCCAGATTATGATGAGAAATGGAAGACAAGATTGAAAATAGTGCGATGAAGGTGAAGAAACTGCGTGAATCGGTGTTTCCAAAGTGAAAAAAGGCTAAGAAAAACCTTAGAAAGGGGGCTGGACGAGAATGATACCAGAAAAAAGAAGAAGAGGGGGGCGTCCGGACGAGCTATGCAATGTGTCTCACTGCGTACGTGTGGGTCCTGGTACGAATAACAGATTACGGTAAGCAGAAGTCCCTTCAATTATGAGCATCAGTAACGAAAAAAACCCTAGTAACAGTAAAAGAAGCTCACCTTTTTCAGCCTCTAGCAGTAGGAAATTGAATAAGGGTTCGTGCCAGCAAAAAGAGAAACAGAAAAAAGAATGGGAGAAAAACATCGCCTCATCACTCAGCGATTAGCTGATTGTGCGTGGGTCCTAGAACGAATAATAGCAATCTGTATTGTCTCGACAATCGTCTAACGTGACACCGATGGAGGGGAGGGAAAGCGAACTACGGCAACAACGGGGCTGCCACTATGCGCTGGACGTCGAGATCGGGGGAGCGAGAGGGTCCCTCCTACCACCCATGGGGGGCGCTGAGTATTCCTTAATGGAGAACTCAGTAACCTTTTTTTATCGTGAACCGTGCCTGGCACATCGAGACTTCCAATCAAAGGCATAGGCATTGGCACATTCTGGTCCTCTGTTGCTCCTCTATCGAATTTCGTGTTCCGTATCATTATAAAAGTATCATTTGTCCATAGAAGGGGCGTGCTGTTCGCTAATCATCACAACTCTATCAGGGAAGCCCGGCGTTAGCCGGGCCACCCGACTGGCGATCAAAAAGCGACACCGATTGAACTGAGCAATTGCATTTTACAGGAACGAACAATAATGGTTCAAAGGCTGAGCTACAATTACTCTCATTTAAATCCAAATGCTTTCTAGAAATTGAAATCCCGTGTTCCTATCAGACATATTGGAATGCTAAAATGACTGTAGAGCATATGGTTGAAGCGAAAATGAGATGCCGATACATCCGACTTCAGAGAATACCAAATTCCACATTCCACTCCGAGGAATACCAAAAAATACTAATTTCTCCGAACAGCTCTAATAAAAGGGAAGCAGAAACTGGTTGCAAACTGGTAGAGAAGCAGAAGCTGGCTCTACCAGTTTGCAACCATTCGTTGTACCTTATATCAGCCTCCTGAAAAGAACTCCTCTTTGTCGGCTAGTTGAGCATTGTTTTTCAGATATCGCTGACAACAATGAAGAACAAGCTCTGGTTCACCTGGATCTTGGTATTTTGATTTTTGTGTGGAAGTTTTTGCTCCTCAAACAATTTCTACAACGATGAGTGTCTATTAAGTTTTTTTTAGATTTTTGCGCTTGCTACGACTGGAACGGCATTCTTTTATGACCTCTGCGTCAGATACGGCATATGCGAGAAGTGAATGCTAGCTACCACTGTAATCGACAAAGTTTACTGAAACAATTTTTTGAAACATGGCTTTCAAGTGAAAGCATCTGAATGAATAAATAATTTGTAACTCATGTATGTGAAATACCCCATACCTCCCTCA